GCGCGTACGCAGGAATTTGGTCTAGGGGGGGGGGATAATAAAATTTTTTAAGAAATATTATTGTTAATTAAAAATACTAAGCATAAATTTATTAAGACTAATAACTATAAATTAATGTGAATTACAAAAATAAATATATATATATATATAAATCGGCATTGAAAAAATATAAAATAAATGTGAATTAAAATACAAAGTGAATATAACCACGATATGAATCACTTAAATGACCCAAAATTGAAATTTGAATTTTTTGAGCCTTTAAAATTTATAAAGTATAAAAAATTAAAATGTTGGAAATATAAATTAATACACAAATAGTTTCTTAGGAATAATTGTATTTTGTATGTTTTGAACTAATTTTTCAATTATCTATCCTTGCTTGGCGTTAAATGCCTATGAATATTCAAAAGATCCAAATCATTCAATCTACTTTCAGAATTTGTATTTCATAGGTATGTTTTTCAGAGACTGACCGTATTTTAATTTTTTTTAAACATATCCGAGCCGAGTTGTATATTTTAAAACCAAATATTTGAAATCGCCATTATTAGCTATAAAATCAAAAATAAATATAATTTATTTTTAAAAAACGGGCCTGAAAATTTTATTTTCAAAAAAGCCGAGCCGGGCCTAAAATTTTTTTAAAAAAAACGCGGGCCAAAAAAATTTTTTAAAAAAATCTGGGCTGTGCCCTGCAAATGGTATTTCTGCAGGGCTCTGTTATTCTTCTTAAAAAAGAGACTCTCATTAGTTTACTAATGGGAAGAGTTGCTAATATATAAATATAACCATTTTGATACATTGGGAATATAATCTAAAATGTGTTTGAAATAATGCAAAGCATCCATAGCATTTTTTGGGACTGTATAAACCATAGTTAATCTTTTAATCATAGTTATTCAGCTAATAAGGCATCATAAGATATTTTAACATCTTCATGACAAAAATCTAACAAATATTTTTTTTTCTATCACCATATGAAAAGGTTGGAATGGCTATTGTGGAAGTAATATCTGCGGATTTGTAAGTGCTGCATGATGAATTAAAAACCAATTATTTATTTGGGCTATAAATGTATCTAAGAGAGGGGACATTTGTTTTATAATACTCTTCTACTGATCCTATATTAATTTTTTGAAGATGAGCTTGCTTGCTGCAAGTTGAGGGGGACAAATATAAAACATGTATAGCTCTACTTTTGACTCAACAATAACATATAAAATATGAAATTCTTCATCAACATTAGCTCTAATTTCCTTGAGTTCTAATAAAATGCTCTCGGCTATTCTCATCTTCTTAATCAAGTCAATGTCATGTTTTTGAAAAGTATTACATAAAATAGTTGAAAATTAAATAATACATTTTAATGAGAAAAAAAAATTTGGAATAAGTATTGAATCCAATAATTTTCTTGCTTCTGAGGAAATATTTCTCTCAAGCCATTGTGATATTTCAGTAATAGCATTAATAATCGGCTCTTCTAACTCCATAAAAAGCTGTTACTTCTTAAAGGCGGAGACTCGATCTCGTTGAACAGGCTTGCAATTTCTTTCTCCCTGTTGGACAAGGAGTTTCAGAGATAATTATTATTTGACTAGAAATTTAGATAAATAATACGCCATTAAAATTTGAAAATTATATATATTATATAGGAATAAATATTAACAAATATAAATTAATATTTACAATAATATTTTTGAAAAATATAATCCGGCATCAACACATATTTTACTATAATATAAATTCTCAATAATGCAGCAAAACAAACATATATGTAATTTCTTAGAATTATTTTTTTAATATCTCTCTTCAATTTGAGATTTCTTTAATAAATGCAAAATAAAAACAGTCTAGAAAGAATAAATATTTTAAAAAACTTTCCTCAATAATTTTAAGTTAATCTCTTTTTCTTTGAATTTAGAGTGAATTAGTTATTATTTAATCTAATAATGATATAATAAATGATAAATTTATTAATCAGGTAGGCGGGTATATCCAAACAAAAAAAATATTATATTTATTTGTATTATATTAATAAAATAGGATTTTAAGTGATGCATAAATAAGTTTATTATAACTAAAGTGAATTAAGTATGTAGACAGTGTCGTCTAATTATATAATAATATAATTTTGCGACCAAGATGTATTCAAAAATATTATATTATATGTATTATAAAAGAAATTGATTTGAAAAATAAGTCCAAAAATCGATAATTTATTTGAAAAATGGGAGTTATTTTTTTATATATTACCTTTAAAAGAGTCGCGAAAACATATTGGCTCCCCTTACCTAGCATTTTACTATTTTTTTGGCTTTTTTTTTTGGATAGAAATAATATTAAAATTTAGAATGATTTATTATATCTTATGTTTACATTCGATTTTAGGTGTTTTAATTTTAAATCGATAATATTTTAATAAAATGTATACCTTCTTTCATTCATTCTTTCTTTATTTCTTTCTATCTTTTCTATATTTCTTTCTATCTTTTCTATATTTTCTTTCTTTCTATATTTTCTTTCTTTCTATATTTTCTTTCTATTCTTTCTTTCTTTCTATAATTTCTTTCTTTCTGTATTTTCTTTCTTTTTTCTTTCTTTCTATATTTTCTTTCTTTCTATATTTTCTTTCTTTCTATATTTTCTTTCTTTCTATATTTTCTTTCTTTCTATATTTTCTTTCTTTCTATATTTTCTTTCTTTCTATATTTTCTTTCTTTCTATATTTTCTTTCTTTCTATATTTTCTTTCTTTCTATATTTTCTTTCTTTCTATATTTTCTTTCTTTCTATATTTTCTTTCTTTCTATATTTTCTTTCTTTCTATATTTTCTTTCTTTCTATATTTTCTTTCTTTCTATATTTTCTTTCTTTCTATATTTTCTTTCTTTCTATATTTTCTTTCTTTCTATATTTTCTTTCTTTCTATATTTTCTTTCTTTCTATATTTTCTTTCTTTCTATATTTTCTTTCTTTCTATATTTTCTTTCTTTCTATATTTTCTTTCTTTCTATATTTTCTTTCTTTCTATATTTTCTTTCTTTCTATATTTTCTTTCTTTCTATATTTTCTTTCTTTCTATATTTTCTTTCTTTCTATATTTTCTTTCTTTCTATATTTTCTTTCTTTCTATATTTTCTTTCTTTCTATATTTTCTTTCTTTCTATATTTTCTTTCTTTCTATATTTTCTTTCTTTCTATATTTTCTTTCTTTCTATATTTTCTTTCTTTCTATATTTTCTTTCTTTCTATATTTTCTTTCTTTCTATATTTTCTTTCTTTCTATATTTTCTTTCTTTCTATATTTTCTTTCTTTCTATATTTTCTTTCTTTCTATATTTTCTTTCTTTCTATATTTTCTTTCTTTCTATATTTTCTTTCTTTCTATATTTTCTTTCTTTCTATATTTTCTTTCTTTCTATATCTTTCTTTCTTTCTATATTTTCTTTCTTTCTATATCTTTCTTTCTTTCTATATTTTCTTTCTTTCTATATTTTCTTTCTTTCTATATTTTCTTTCTTTCTATATCTTTCTTTCTTTCTTTCTTTCTTTCTTTCTTTCTTTCTTTCTTTCTTTCTTTCTTTCTTTCTTTCTTTCTTTCTTTCTTTCTTTCTTTCTTTCTTTCTTTCTTTCTTTCTTTCTTTCTTTCTTTCTTTCTTTCTTTCTTTCTTTCTTTCTTTCTTTCTTTCTTTCTTTCTTTCTTTCTTTCTTTCTTTCTTTCTTTCTTTCTTTCTTTCTTTCTTTCTTTCTTTCTTTCTTTCTTTCTTTCTTTCTTTCTTTCTTTCTTTCTTTCTTTCTTTCTTTCTTTCTTTGTGTATAAACATATCAACATAGTTGTCTTATAAAAAAAACTAATAATAAAGGTAATTTATTTGGCATTTAACAAGTGAATGTCGAAAGAAGGATGAGTGGAATAACCATGATAAAATTTTATAATAAAATAAAATATTGCCTATTATATATGATTTAGAGTATTTAAAGTATAAAATCTGATGAGAGAAAAAGGGAAGATTTTTTTTATGGTAATAAATTTATATTTATGTTATATAGTAGTTTGTCGTGATGTACTGTGATTGGATAAAAAAATACTTGTTATTTCTTGTTTGGAACATAACAGATTTTATGTTAATGTTATATTGAATTAGATTTTAGGAATTACTGATTCATATTAATTATTCATTTCGCTCTTATATTTTCAGTAACACATAATGATTTCAATCCAACCAGAAATAGCGTCAAATTTTCTCCAGTGATAAGTTGTCACCATTTAATGCATAGATATTATTGTCAATTATTTAGATTTAAATCAAAAACCTGCAAATCCCGCTGGAACCCAACCAAATTGGCTAAGAAACAATAAATTTTTAAAAGGTTAGCCGTTTAAATGATTGTTTTCGTGTAGTATTGCTAAGAAACCCTATTTGAGTCGATTTTTCAAAACGGCCCGATTAAGATTTTAGCTAAGCATTGGCAAAATGTCCAAGCATTTCTGTCAGCTATAAGCAAAATATCTAGTCTTACATAATGTTATTTTTGTTATAATTTTAATCGGGCCGCTTTTTAAAATCGACCCGAATCGGGGGTTTTAACAACACTATCTATGGGTGATATCGTAAACTCATTATGAATCAATGAAAATCCGGTGAGAGGATACGTAAAAATTTTACTAGCCTACGCCCATTTATTTAAATCTGGTAAAAAAATCGTTTTATAACTTATTATGGAAAATAATAGCAAGAGGCAAAATCAGATTACATTTTTTTTTCCTAAAAAATTTTGAATGGAATTAGATTATAAGGTAATCATAGATTATATGTACATATAACATATATTAGGTTATATATATTTTTCTTACATCGAAAATTTTTTATCCTAATCGATTCTATAAAATGAAAAATTGCCGATATTATATTATATACAATAACCACTCTTATTTCCATTTTCTAAGTCAATCTTAAAGCCTATTTCGTAAAGATTTATTTTAAAAATAAAAATTACTTTTTTGAAATTTCTTTTAAACTGGCCACGAATTTAAGAATACACAAATCATTATTACCTTTTTATGTAATTATAAAATCCGCGAATTCATATCAAATTTTATTTAAAATATAGTTGGAAAGGTATAAATACGATATCAAATTTTTATATTTATTAATAACTATATAATAATAATTATAAAAAAATGTGAAGTATTGATTTATGAGATTTTGATAATTTTTGTATAAATTGTCAAATGAAATAATATTTATTCAAAAATAATTTTAATATTTAATATTCAATTAAAAGTCATTTTAAAACAAATAACACAAATATTTTTTGACTTTATTCATTATAGGATATTTATATTATTAATATATTTTAATTAATTAATCTTTTTAAAATTATATAATGTATTTAAAAAGTCATTTCCATGCCTGAGCATTACCTTTATATATAAAATATAATATTATAGAGAGGGAAAGTAAAGAAAAACATACAAATATTTTTTTAAAAATAAACATTTAATTTATTTTAATGATTTTAATAGCTCTCTTTAAAAAAAAGAAAGATATTTTTACGTGTGGGAATAAATTATTTATTGTTATTATACCTAACCTTTTAAACAAAGTGGCATCTATAAACAATAAGTGCCATCTACATTATCTTAGAATCATTTAAAAGACCACTTTTTTGGTGGTAACTAGTGTAAACTTATCTCCACTCCACCTCAGATTAAATTATAAATATGAAATATACAGTTAAAAGTCATTTCAAAATATTTTAAAGGTAACTTACTAGCTTTTTTCTTATATTTTTTTTTTGAAAAATATAAACAAATTGCAATATTTACGACTTATTCGAAGTATAGCAGGTAAAAAAAAATAGGATGAATAAAAAAATAATATAATACAATATATAAAGTTATTTTTTTTAAAAAAATTAATGACATTTAGCGATTTGTCACGAAATAACTTTTTGATATACTACATATTTTTAAAATAGGAACATTTAATTTTATAAATAATTTAAAATATTGACATTATATTATTTATATTTATTAATATATTTTACAATTTTTATTCCGTTATTTTTATTTTCGCTGGAGAAAATTTATTTTTGATAACATTAAATCGAAATAATAAAGTTTCATTTTCAATCTAAGAATTTAATACAAGATAATTAAATTATAATTGTTACAATTATATACTTTATAAATTGTAAAGGACACAGAGCTGGAAGCCCATGGATGAATTAATTTTGGCGCCCCTTTAAAAGCTCCCAATTTTCTTAGCCTCTTAAAAATTCATAAAATAACGCACCAGATTCGTCATTTTAAAATGGCATTCGTGATGAAGCTTAGAAAATGAATTGTATTGAGTAATATTTATGCAATATATTATAGCAAAATATAAATAATTTTAAATAAAATGACCTAATTATGTTAAGGTTCATAATTTATGTAATATTTATTATTTAAACTTTTAAAATATTATAATTAACTTTAAATGCACAAAAATTAAAATTTAGCTTCCCTTAAAATGTTCAAATTTTGGCGGCCCAGATCCTCTCTTCCGCCTTCTCCCGCGCTTGCACAGGCCTAATAGGAAATATATATATTAGGGAAACGAAACATATAAAGTCTCCTCATAATGCATTTAATCTAAATTTTTTATATTTTAGAATCTAATGTTGAATTTGCGTCGTTGCTCAAGATTTAAAACCCTTCATGTAACCTAGATTTCACTTCATTATGAGAGATGTATAAAAAAAAGTGAAATTCTATATATTTATTGTATTTGAGGTCTTTCGATTTGTTAGCTGGACCGGACAAAAATATTTCGGAACATTACATTTATATCGTTTTTAAAAAAAAATTTAAAATTACGCTTATTATTTTAAAATAATTAATTATGAATTTTAAAAAAACTGCTATGAATAAATAGATACTCCCTTCCCTTGAGATTTTATTATAAGAGTTCGATTATGGTTAAGAAAATTTTAACTGTTTATTATTATTTAGCGGTTCGCTTCGACCCTCTTCTGTATATTACGATATAACAACAATTTTGATAATTTTGATTTATGTCGCCCTGTCCCGCAATCCCAAGTCAACGAAGTTATTATCACCTACATACTTCCCTATCTGAACCAAAATTTTAAAAGAAGGAAATACAAATAAATCAGAAAATTAGGGAAATTAAAATTAACATTTACCCTTCAAGTTACATTTACTTCTCTATCACCTTTTATTCTAATGACGATATCATCTTCAAAATTCTCTACCTTCTTCAACTTCTTTGATCATATTTTGTCAAACACCTATCCCCTCCTTTGTAGAGGAGCTTAATCATTTATCTAAATAAAAGTTTCCATGATAATATTATCTATAGTACTTTTATCACAGTACTAATTTTATCATATTATACTTATGGCCTGCTACATTTTTTAGCCATAAATCATACCAATCTCCAGCGATATTTAAGCTTTTACTATTCGTTTTATATTTCTAGGAATGGCTGGTAGGGAACAAGAAAACAGCTAGTTAGAAATATCACGATAATCGCAACTTAAATTGCGGACCGTAAATTTTTAATTCTTCTTAGCATAATAACATCCCTGTATTCTGGATAGGTAAAACATCGAGTCAATTAAGGCCATTTTAATTAATATTTTGAATTAAACTAAGCAGGGATATATTATCGGAATGGGAAATTTTAGTTATTCTTATAGCTAAATTACACTAATTTAGGGCTAATAAAAGCTATTTTTACATTGCTGGAAGGGTCCTGATACATGCACAGAATTGCCAGGTCCACCACATTGACTAGCAGGTTACCACAATTTTATTTAAGCGAAGTCTACAACTCACACAATTCTACCATATTTTTGAGATTTCCGAAATATACAACAAAATCTTCCACAAAACCCTCTCCCCACACCTTTTAAATTTTTTTCAATGAAGATTTTTATATCATGTATTATGTCTTTAGAGATTTAAAATTCAAAAAAAGTGATTACCATTTTTCTATTGGAACCCTTCCTCTTAAATTTATTACGTTTTATCTGATTACCACTAAAAAGGACGGGATTTATATAATTAATGAATATTTATACCATATTAACAAATTTGTATCAAAATGATAAAACAAACATAAAAAAAACTTTTTTTAATAAGAAAAATCCCCTTATATTTTTATGACTATTTGAAAAATAAATCCGACATGGATTTTAGCCTATAAATTAGTTTCCTTTTTAACTCGGCCGGCCTATTTTAAAAAATAGGTTTCTGAAAATCTATTACAATAGAATAATTTTTATCTGGCAACCCTGTACACGGGTGAATACATTTTCTTAAAATTCTTACAACATATGGGAAATTGGGGAAAAAAGGAAGATAAATTATAATCCAATTTCGCCAATTTTAGTAGGTAAAGGTTAGAGGTCTGTAAATACTGAATCCGAAAAGCTAACCTACAGAGGGAAAATCAACATTTTTTTTTTATAATTGGGATGGGCCAGGTCATATATTATTTACGAGGTGAATCGGGGTTACTATGCGTGATATCATTAAATTGTGGTCCATATAAAATGTATATTTTTTATACCTTAATTATGCATAATATATTTCAATTGAAAAATCAAATATAAATTTGCAATTATATACCAATCTGGATTGGAAAATGATATATAGGGCCGGGCCATATATTTTAAAACCGAATATTTTTAATCGCCATTATTAGCTATAAAAATTAAAATCAAATGTAATATATTAAAAAATCCGGGTTTCCTGAAAAAACAAAACACCCGAGCCATGCTGGGCCGTGCAGGTACCTCTGCAGGTCTCTGATATAAATTTTATAATTAAGTTATTTTTTTAGGTAAAATTCGATCCTCTTTCTTTTAGGCCTTGATTTGACTCCTTGCACTGGTATTTTTTTTCTTTGGTTCAGACTTCTGTTACATTTATTTAAGAGAGGGCCACCACGATACATCTCTATCGATTCCTTAGCGTTTTTTGTTCTTATTTAATTTTTCTTGGCAATGGACCCTTATTTAGCCTTTCCATCTCATATTGGCTTGATTTATTAATTCCGGAATTTTTGTCCTCTCCCTTAATTATGCCCATTTTCTATTTTCATTTATTCTGAGAAACTATTGGCAAGAGGCAATATAAAATGTTTTACAAGGAATTTATTGCTGTTAAAACATTATTGGAGAATATATTTAATGCGATTTTAGTTATATTAATTTGGCTTATGACCCTGAATGTCAAACGTATTGTGTTTTAATAATTTTTTCATAAAATATTTACGTCACTTATTTATTAATATATATGGGAAAAATTGATGTTTTTATATACAGTCTGTGGTCTAGTCAGTTTGCGTTGATCACAAATCCGATAGACCTGGTTTTGAATCTAGTGAGACCAACACATGGTGATTCCATACTGGGGGGGGGGTAATATAGTAGATGAGTCCGATTACATTTTGACAATCTTTAGTTGCTCAGCAAATTTGACAAAATTTGGCCATTGTTTAGTAAATGGTTTGACACGCATTGTCACTTGCCATGTTATTCACTATTTTTATTTCTTATTTACTTCAATATTCATTTTATTATGTTGTGTTGCCATAGTAACTTTTGTGGACTAACATAAATTTAGATTGTATTTTGTTCCAATTTTATCCGCTATAATATACTCTATATGCGCAGCAGGATAAGAAACAGTTATAATTAGGGTTTGAAATTTAAAAAAACACAATTAATTTTAATTAATTTCTAATAGTTTTAATAAAATATATATATATAATCCACGAAAAATGCCAATCAAATTCAGCCAATAGTATTCTTTTAAAAAATATTTATCCAATGATAATCATTATACCAATATTAAGCCAATATTAATTTCTATCACGTGATTTAATATAAATGTAAATGTGCTAGATTATATATTTTATTTTTAATGGCGATGATTTTATAATGCAAGATGCCTGATCAGAAGACATTAAAGTTATTGGTATTTATGTTAAAAAAGAATTTCACATTGGACTCAATATCAATATGCTTCAGATCTAGATAAATTACAATATAAGGAAATCATCAAATTAAGAAATATCACCTAGCCATT